ATATATTCTGTAGTGTATATATATATATATATATATTTATATATTCTATAGTGTATATATATATATATGTTCTGTAGTGTATATATATATATTTTAAAGTGTACAATTGTACATACAGGTATCTATAATTTTGGTTGGAGTAAAAGGATAGCACAATTCCTGATAGTAATTTGGAGCAATGTGATCGCAAAATCAGTATCCAATCGACAGCTTTCGCCTATGAGGAGTTTATAATTTTCGTAGGGTGGTAATATTTATTAGCACTGCTCAAAGACACCGTAAGTATCACACAACAAATCCACAACGTTTCAAGCACTCCACACTCACAGACGGTGAGTCCACACTCCGCACTCCACTCTCCACAGTCCGCACTCCACAGTCCACACTCCACAGTCCATACTCCACACTCCACACTCCACACTCCAGTCTCCACACTCCACAGCGCTCACGAGTCGCGACTCACGAGTCACGACCTCACGACTCACGACTCACGACTTACGCCTCAAATTTATTCAATTCTCAACTCACGTCACAACAAGAGAGTTCAGTGAGTTCACACACTCTGACAAAGGCCTTTTGTTTGTTTAAAAAAATTAGGCCAGAGTCGGACATCGGACTCGCTATGTATTTAGAATATACTGTGACCACTAACTACTCTCTCTACTCTCTGTACTATAGTAGAAGTAGTCAGGACTCAGGTAGTTAGTAGTGACTACCTGACCGAGGAACACATACAAATAAACGTAAAAGTGCATTCTATTATTTTCAACGTTTTATACGTATTTAATATTTTAAGAAATACAAATATATGTACATATTTAAAATTAGGAATATTAATATTTTATAAAATATGCCATATTTATGAAAAAATATGGCATATTTATTTCATATTTATTATTGTCCTACAAATTTATTTCGAGCATGTTTCATATTTATTATTTGTCCAAAAATATATGTTACATATTTATTATTTCTCTTGTATAAATTCTTATTTATTTTTTCTCCTATATTTCCACATAAATACAACTTCATATTATGGATTGACATAGCTTGCTATTTCGTATGTGTGACGATAGTTCATACTAAAAGTTAGAAACGCATTGATAAACAGTCCTTGTGCATGCACCACACATATGCACAACGTAACATAGTAATCTACAAAGTATGAACATATATATAAAGCTTACACATGGTTTATGTACACTAAAAAGGTAAAAGATCTATACTATAAATAAATCATGAGGTATATGACATCTCAACACGCTTTTTTGTAATGCCATTATTCTGAGTCATAGAACCCGACAGAGATCGTTTAGCAGTGAAGCAGGAAGGTGTATAGATTAAGCTGCACTAGAATACTGTGCACTGGGGTGGCATATTTGGGCATGTGGGCTTATATTGTCACTGTATATAATTCAAATAAACTAACGATCTATGTAATGACTTGTGTGTATAATATGTGTGATTGCTTGTCAGTATTTTAACACCACCAGTATAAAACTGACACTTTTTTTGCCACCTTTTTTGTTCCAAAAATCAATCAATTTTCAAATTGGAAACAATTTGCCACCATATTTGAAAAAGGTGGTCAACATGTATCGAGCGGAAACAGGTTAAATTGCAACTGACGCTATACTACAGGTACGATAGCTCTGAAATTGGTAGCAGAGCTCAAGAACAATTATTTGTATGCCTGTGAACTATGAAGTTCACAAGGTCCTTTCTGGCAGGATATGTGACAAGTGTGAATTATGTCTTCTGTGACCAGAATGCGCTCAGGAGACAAAATATCGAATTGGCATGTATTATGGTAAAGCGTTTTTTGGATATCACCCGACTACACTAGGGATAATATTATTTATTTCAAAAATGGCAAGTATGTATGATACAATGCATGAACATATGGTATGGCTCTCATAGTCGCTGTAGTGGTTCAGGAAAGATTGATGGGAAGAAGTGGTCAGTAAATTCCCGATTGAAGCTGGGGCCAAGTGAGTCGACAATAGAAGATATGTGCTGAGTCAATTTGGGCCGGTGTTGACAGAACACTGATACTATCCAATGTTCCATATATTCGCTTGCTGACCTACTAAGTAGAGTACCCACCTCTGTGGTACGGATCGGGTCTGCGCCGTGTAGTGCCGCGGAATGGGTTAGTGTAGAGTACGAAATACTGAGAAGGACCAGGTTATCCGTCATAATCCGGTCGAGAAGCAAGAGTGGGGGTTAGCCAATGCAACACCAGACGACGGATGAACTCGGTATGTGTTGGCTGGCCTGGATTGGAAGTATCATAGTCGGAACTTACAAGCGCGATAATTTGGTTTGAGCCGGTATTTGGAAGTAGTACGAGGTAGTCCGCGAATGGTCGCGCGGGGTGCAGGCCGCAAAAGTGAAGTAAATTTGTTTGATGTTTGGGAAACCGAGGGTATTTGGTGCCCGTGATGATGGCTGCTGCTTGGATGAGTGCTGAGTTAAAGCGCTCGAATAGGGGGCCCAACGCATCCTTCCATATAGGCGGAGCCCAAGCAATAATGTTCAGCCCATATGTAGCCGTGGATAGGATGAATGTTTTGAACATCACCAGTCGGCTGCGGGGATGTCGCCAGTTGAAGCCATGGAAGCCATAAGCGCGGAAAGAGGCGATACCCAGTGACAATACTGCAACCAGGGATTCCATATGTCTAGCGAGGTTGATTTCTGGTACTCCGTGAGAGAGTGGGGACCCCGGGTACTTGGAGTGTTTCGGTTCGGCATGTGTGGGCGCCAGTTTCAGGGGGAGGTAACGTGTGTTCCAAGGTGCGTCTGCAAGCGTTGGCGTGATAAGCTCACCATTTGTACAGAGGGTTGGCGCCGCGTGTCGCAAGTCGGTAGATCGTACTTGGGGTTTAATGACGCCCAGTTCGAGGCGAGATTTGCAACCCCACGCATCAATGTCATCTAAGAAGGGCTGTATCAAAACCGATCGAGGGGCTTGGATCTGTGTGTCATCGACAAATAAATAAGAGCGGAGGAGCTTGAGCCAAAATTGTGCTAGCTTGACAGCTAGGGAATCCATGTAGATAATAAAGAGCTAGGTGCCGACAATTGAGCCTTGTAGGAGGCTATTCGTTCTATGGAATAGAGATGAGCGCGTGCTGCGGTATGTCACTCGGGTAGGGACTCTCCCAAACAGCGCGCGGAGGCAGTTGACCTAGTTTTCGGGTATTCCAGCGTGACGCAGAAGTACCCATAGGCGTGGGAGAGCAACATTGTCGTATGCCTTGGTTATGTCTAGACAGACGTCGTTCCACTCCTTTTCTGACTGTGTCTCAGATTCCATGGCGACAAGTGCTTGGGTATGGCAGGAGTACCGTGATTTGAAGCCAGCTTGGGTAGCATGGGTAGCAGAGCCGGGGTGGCTCGTAATTAGATTAAGAAACCACTTTTCAAAGATGCGTCTGACTATTCGCGTAAGCGTGATGGGGCGGAAGCGGCGGGGGAGGTGATATCTGCATCGGCTTTTTTGGGGTGCGCTGTCAGGAGGCTGCAGTTCAGGGCTGCGGGGAAGGTACCCGCCTTCAGTAGCTCAGTGAATGCTTCGGCAAGGAGTCTAATCGGTGGGCTGTTGGCGTTGGGGCGTCCTAATGTCCCGCGTGCGGTAACTGCGAACTTCAGGAGGAGGATGTGGATCCCGTCGGGGCCAGGTCCTTTATTGGGATAGCGTAGAATTGCCTCCATTACATCCTTAGGGCGTATGGTGGAAGTGACATCGGGAGAGGGTTCGGTATCCGGTGGAGCCACGTACGGGTTTGTAGAGTTGAATAGAGCCTCAAAGTAGCCAGCGAGAGTAGCGCCTGTGTCATCGGTACCCGGTATGCAGAATTGGCGGGGAGGGTCAGACGTGGGCGGAACGAGTGGTTTGGCAGCCACTGAACCAAAGGTCTGTTTAAGTCATAATAAAACCCTCCAAAAATTTGTGGGCTAGTGGCTCGTAGCAGCCCTTCCGCTGGTCCATGTAAAGTGAGATACGACCGTAGTAGGTTCTGATGCGCCCGGATTTTGGTTTGTAATAGTCGCGCGCGGGATTTGTTGCGTAGGTGATACAGTCGATGGCGATATCGGTTAGATCCATGGGAGGGGAGGCGTTGGTCCGGAGGCGGCGACATTGCTGGCATTTGTTGGGGCCGATGGATTTGATTCTCTGGAAGTATCTGGAGATCGAGTCCAAATATGTGATCACCACAGATACCGTAGTCCGTCAGCTTATAAGTTTGGAGGGAGGCGGGGGTGGTAGGTCGATGAACTGTATATTACAGGCTCTATGCCTATACAATCCCTATAATACAGCCGTGAAATACTGCATTATATTTCGTAAATATATATATATAAAACCCATATTTCATAAATATGGCATATTTCATTTGTATGGCATATTTCAGAAATATGGCATATTTTAGGAATATGGCATATATATATATATAAATATGGCATATTTATGGCATATTTCAATTTTTAAATACCAAATTTTATTTTTTTG